ATAAAATAATAAATCAGCCTTCTGAAACATGGAGTCAGATCCTTGTCTGTTCCCTCATCCTGGGACCCCTCTGAACACCACCACGTTTGGTGACCCCGAGGGATGAAAAATCCCACACATCCCCACGTGGGGATGAAGGGGACGGGGCTCAGGGTGACCCCCTGTCATGGATATATTTGATGAAAAATCCTTCACTTAGGATTTTTTCTCCTAAGAAGCCAAGAGGCCTCAAGAATAAAATGTAAACATTGATTATCTGCTGCTGTGGAATGCAACAGGGGAATCTGTGATTGGTCTCATGTGGTTGTTTCTAATTAATGGCCAATCACAGTGAGCTGGCTCAGACTTGAATAACTCTCTTGTTATTCATTCTTTTTTTTTTTTCCGTAGCTAACCTTCTGATGAAATCCTTTCTTCTATTATTTTAGTATAGTTTTAATACAATATATATCATAAAATAATAAATCAGCTTCTGAAACATGGAGTCAGATCCTCGTCTCTTCCCTCATCCTCAGACCCCTGTGAGCACCATCACAAGCTGGGGAAATCCATTTGTTGAACTGGCACAGAGGCAGAACTGGATTTCAGGGTGTTAAAGATGCTGTTGCAACACTTTTTCCTGTTTGGATTCATAAGGAACAGAGCAGGGAAAAGCTCAAATTGTACTGGAATGCTCTTCCCAGGGAGGTGGAACAATCACCAGCTCTGGATGTGTTTAAAAAAAGACTGGACATGGTGCTACAGTCCAGCTGAGGTGTTAGGGCATAAGTTGGACTTTATGATCTTAGAGATCTCTTCCAATCTCGTGATTCTGTGATTGATTCTGTGATTCTGTGATTGATTCTGTGATTGATTCTGTGATTCCCTAATTCTGTGACTGATTCTGTGATTCTGTAATTCTGTGAGTCAGTGATTCTGTAATTGATTCTGTGATTGATTCTGTGATTCTGTGATTGATTGTGATTGATTCTGTGATTTTGTAATTCTGTGACTGATTCTGTAATTCTGTGATTGATTCTGTGATTGATTGTGATTGATTCTGTGATTCTGTAATTCTGTGATTGATTCTGTGATAATTCTGTGATTCTGAGATTGATTCTGTGATTGTGATTGATTCTGTGATTGTGTAATTCTGTGATTGATTCTGTAATTCTGTGATCGATTCTGTGATTCTGTGATTGATTCTGTGATTGATTCTGATTGATTCTGTGATTCTGTAATTGATTCTGTGATTGATTCTGTAATTCTGTGATTGATTCTGTGATTGATTCTGTGGTAATTCTGTGATTGATTCTGATTGATTCTGTGCTAATTCTGTGATTGATTCTGTGATTCTGTGATTGATTCTGTGATAATTCTGTGATTCTGCAATTCTGTGATTGATTCTGATTGATTCTGTGATTCTGTAATTCTGTGACTGATTCTGTGATTGATTCTGTGATTGATTCTGTAATTCTGTGATTGATTGTGATTGATTCTGTGATTCTGTAATTGATTCTGTAATTCTGTGATTGATTCTGTGATTGTGTAATTCTGTGATTGATTCTGTGATTGATTCTGTGGTAATTCTGTGATTCTGTGTTTTGGAGGCGCCACTGATGCAGTGGCACGCAGAGGCCTCAAGAGGGATGTGAACTCCACATCCCAGCATAGGTGCAGACGTCAGAAGTTTGTGATTCTGTCTCTGCCTGTGCTCACATCCCACCCAGGCAGCGCCAATTTTAGGATGGGATGTGAGATGGTGATATAACTCCTGGGTTAACCCACTTACAGCCAGCCAAAGCACTCGCTCTATTTCTGCTCCATAAGCACCAGATGAAGCTGGGCTGACTCAGGCAGGGTTTGCTGCACAGAACATCAGCTCCTGTCACAGACATCNAAAGGCTTTAGTGAGGCCAAGCTTGTTGTATTAAATGAGCTCCTGGTGCCAGGTTTACATGGCTGGCCCACACCTCCCAGCGTGGTGACACCTGGGACATCCCTTGGCATCAATCTGGGCACAAAACTGACACTGCAAGGCACTGAAAAATGCTAAATTCAGAGAATTCCCCCAGTGCTCAACCCAGAGCTCAGGCAATCAATTTGGGCACAAAACTGATGCTGCAGGACACCAGGAAATGCTAAATTCAGAATTCCCCCAGTGCTCAACCCAGAGCTCAGGAATTTCCAGCCACCCAAATGCCTTCACCTGGAACACCCCTTTGCCATCAATCTGGACACAAAACACACTGCAAGGACCAGAAAATGCTAAATTCAAAATTCTCCCAGTGCTCAACCTGCAGCTCAGGCACTTCCAGCCACCCAAATGCCTTCACCTGCAACATCCCTTTGGCATCAATTTGGGCACAAAACACACTGCAAGGACCAGAAAATGCTAAATTCAGAATTCTCCCAGTGTTCAAACTACAGCTCTGGCATTTCCAGGCACCCAAATGCCTTCACCTGCAACATCCCTTTGGCATCAATTTGGACACAAAACTGATGCTGCAGGACACCAGGAAATGACAAATTCAGAGAATTCTCCAAGTGCTCAACCTGCAGCTCAGGCACTTCCAGCCACCCAAATGCCTTCACCAGCAACATCCCTTTGGCATCAATTTGGGCACAAAACATGCTGCAAGGACTAGAAAATGCTAAATTCAAAATTCTCCCAGTGCTCAACTCATAGCTCAGGAATTTCCAGCCACTCAAATGCCTTCACCTGGAACATCCTTTTGCCATCAATTTGGACACAAAACACACTGCAAGGACCAGAAAATGCTAAATTCAGAATTCTCCCAGTGTTCAACCATTTCCAGGCACCCAAATGCCTTCACCTGCAACATTCCTTTGCCATCAATTTGGGCACAAAACACACTGCAAAGACCAGAAATTGCTAAATTCAGAGAATTCCCCCAGTGCTCAACCATTTCCAGGCACCCCAATGCATTTTCTCACCGTTTGGTCCCAACCCTCTGGTTGGGGGCGATGTCGATGGTGTCGGTGACGGAGTCGTGGCGCACGGCCAGGCCGAGGTCAGCGATGGCGCACGTGCCGTTCTTCTTNCAAGAACCCCTGTGAACCATCACAAGCTCCTTTCAGCAATCCTGCCTTACCCTCCCCTCAAGAATTCCCAATTCAGTTTTTACCCTGAGTGCCCACAACCTCCATGTGCAGGTGGGCACATTCTTCTATTCTTCTGATGAAACCCCTTCTTCTATTCTTTTAGTATAGTTTTAATGCAATATATATCATAAAATAATAAATCAGCCTTCTGAAACATGGAGTCAGATCCTCGTCTCTTCCCTCATCCCAAAATCCCTATCAACACCATCACAAACTCCTTTCAGCAATCCTGCTTTACCCTCCCCTCAAGAATTCCCAATTTAGTTTTTACCCTGAGTGCCCACAATCTCCATGTGCAGGTGGGCACATTCTTCTACTCTTCTGATGAAACCCCTTCTTCTATTCTTTTAGTATAGTTTTAATGTAATATATATCATAAAATAATAAATCAACCTTCTGAAACATGGAGTCAGATCCTCATCCAAAACCCCTATCAACACCATCGCAAGCTCCTTTCAGCAATCCTGCTTTATCCTCCCCTCAAGAACTCCCAGTTTCCCAATGTAGTTTTTACCCTGAGTGTCCACAACCTCCATGTGCAGGTGGGCACATTCTTCTATTCTGATGAAACCCTTTATTCTATTCTTTTAGTATAGTTTTAATGCAATTTATATCATAAAATCAGCCTTCTGAAACACAGAGTCAGATCCTCATCTCTTCCCTCATCCAAAACCCCTATCAACACCATCACAAGCTCCTTTCAGCAATCCTGCTTTACCCTCCCCTCAAGAATTCCCAATTTCCCCATTTAGTTTTTACCCTGAGTGCCCACAATCTCCATGTGCAGGTGGGCACATTCTTCTACTCTTCTGATGAAACCCTTTCTTCTATTATTTTAGTATAGTTTTAATGTAATATATATCATAAAATAATAAATCAAGCCTTCTGAAACATGGAGTCAGATCCTCATCTCTTCCCTCATCCCAAAACCCCTATCAACACCATCACAAGCTCC